AAAAGAGGATATCAAATAAATGAGGATAAAAAGGAAAGTAAAAAAAAAATTAAGTTATAAATTATTTCAATAATTTATAAACTAATAAAGAATTTATAAAATTTTCAATATTTTATTAAATACACTCATAATAATAAAAAAAATAATTAAATTATAAAATTTTATATGTTAAATATATATAATATATGAATTAATATAAAATATTATAGACATAATTTATTCCGTAAGATTTTTTAATTAAATAGAAACTTTATAAATCAATATTTAATAAAATACTAAATGACATAAAGAAAATCTTAACTTGTAGTAATATAATTTGTCAAAAAAAAAATGGTAATATAAGTTAATGCTTGTGGAAAAATACACGATGAATATAAATGATTAATGAAATTCTAGTTCTACGCACCGGTCAAAATAAAAGTTTTTTTAAAATGAATTATACTATTTTTTTTATTCGACTCCCTAGAGTGAGACAATGGTGTTGTCGAAAATAAAGTTTAATAATAATTATTCAATAAATAATTAATGATTATATTATAATTAATTTAATTTAATATATAAATTTGATTTTATTGCGATCATTAACGATTGTCATCTTACATCACTTTAAATGAATCAATTTTATTTTTATTTTTACATGATAGTTACGTAGTACCATTATAATTTTGTGGTTGACTAATAGAAATGAACTATCTAATATCAAGGTAGATTGTAACAACAAAAAGAAAATAGGTTACCAATCATTTTGAACTTGTTTTGTCTTCAATTTTTAATGTATTTACCTATATATCAAAACCAATAATCAATATTAAGGTCTGTATATTGGATTAAAGGTTTTTTTTGTCCTTTTAGAAAAAAATAATGTAAAAGGAGAGGTTGAGGAAAATTTGTATTATTGTGGCACGCATCTCTGTGCTTTTGATTTGAGATGCAAGAGATAAGCATTTAATAGAAGTCCACGATTCTTAGAATAACTTTGTGGGCGTTGTAACTACCCTTTTATGTGGCTCTTATAAGATTCAATTGCTTACAAAGTGTTCTTAGCTTCATGATGGCTTCTATGGTAAAATATGGTGGTCACCAAAAATTCAAAGACAAGTAGCCACTAGGTTTTATTTTGCCCAAGACATACCCAATATAATGGTTATGTTAGGGAAAAATTATTCATAAATTAGTCGAGAGATAAAAAGTTAGTTTATTAATCCCTCTAACCCTATATACAATGTAGATAGAATTGTTAGTCTTTTTTTATAAGGTGTGATACATTTTTATAAAATATTGATTTTTATTTTTATTTTATATTTTTAGTAAAAGTGAGAATATAAGTTTCTTTTCTCTCACCTCTTAAATTGTTCTATTGTCATTTATCAATTTTTTATTAATATTTATAATTTTTATAATTCTCTCATGAAAATTTAATAATAACTAAGGAAGATAAAAGTAATAAATCATAATTTTATAAAAATTACTAACAACTATTTTTATTAATTTGTGCAATTACAAATATGTTATAATAAAAATCGGATGGAGTAAATTATAAATAAGGTGATATATATATGTGTGGACAATAATTCATGCAAATTATATTTATTGCATCATTTATTTATTATAGAAAAATGATACTTTTACAACAAAGTAAACAATAATTTATACATAACATCATTTTATCACATCATTTATCGGAGAAGATAAAAAAAATATTTTAAACTTACCTCTCTTTTTCTCTTAATTGTATGATTTGTGTTTTTTTTAAGAAATTGTACGATGTGTGGTTCAAATTCATTACTTGTATAATATTTTTATATAAAATTTTATATTATGGATCAAATATTTTCAGGAAAGAAATGAAATAAATTTTTATTAATTAATGCATCATTAATAATTTTATATTAAAATGTAAATTTTATTGATCTAATCGTTAAATTATAATTTTATATTACTTTAAACAATAATAAAAAATAATCAAATTATTTATATTTTAATATATTTTTAAAAAACATATATTACATTACATTGACTTTAATTTATATAAATGAGATATCTAATAATTCTGAATTAATATAAAAATCTGTAAAATAAAAATAAATCAAAAAAGTCTTAACATATAAAAATTTACATATTTAAACTAAAATATTAAAATATTAACGTATCAAAATTGCTCATTTAATGTAAAACATATTAAGCTATAAAAAGTGCAATATATTTTAATAAAAATATACTAAATTTAATACTTAATATTTATACTCATTTACTAAATAATACTAAAATTACTCATATTTTAAAATGAAGCTAACAAAATATTTTTTTTTATAAATGGACTATCCTACAAAATTTGTCGATTAAACTGATAAAACTCATGTTAATTTCTCTCATTATTATACAAATTTTAACAAAATATGTCTGTTAACCATACAAGTTGGTCTATCGACCTATGTATCCACCCCTAAACATACATATGTTATAAACTCAAACTTACTATATATTAGAATAATAAAATGTATCCACAAAATAATGTAACTTAGAGAAAATAATCATAAAAATGTTAAAATACATAAATTTAGTTTCAAATTCAAACTTTACATATTAAACAAGTTTTGTAGTAAGGGAGTGTTTGTCAGAAAAAAATATTTTTTTTAAGCTCAATAATCATCATTCTACAAAATTATGTATTTTAGAAATCATGATTTATATTAGTGATTGAAATATATTTAGTTGATTATAAATTATATATATATATATATATTATTTGAAAGCTATTAATTTTTATTGTGCTAATTAGACAAATAAAAGTAACATGATGTTTTATTGGATTAAAATTTACTTACTTGTTTCTAATTAAGTGTTAGCTTAAATTGAAGTGAACAACGAAATTATTATTTTCCAAAATTTAACCGACTTTATTAATACATATTCTATTTTATTCAATAAAATTATTATTTTCTTAATTTTAAAGGATTTTATTAATATATTTATTATTAATAAAAAGGCAAAAATACCCACTCAAGAACTAAACAACAAAGCATCTAGAATGCAAGGAATTATGTGCTAGAAGAGCAGCAACACTACTAGGAGGCCTTAACCAAACTAACACGTTGTCTTGAGAAAAAGCTCCCATTGTGGACATTTGATCATGAGATATGGACATGTTCCAATCTCTCAAAAGGATCTTATTGATCTAGAAGATTAGCTCAACATGAATGTGAAAAGTGTAGTCCATATATTGTGAGAACTGAGAAGAGTTAGACCACTTCCAAGCAATCACTTTCATAGAGAAGATAAGTTAATCCTCTATTCCAAGCCAACATAAGACCTTATTTTAAAGCCAGTAGCTCCGCGCACAAAAGGTCATTGCCTGTTGACCATGCTGAAAAACCAAAAATCCAATCTCCTTCATGATCCTATAGGCTTCCGCCATAGCCCATTTGGGGAGGATTCTTTGACTAGCTACTGCTACTGTCCATGTTTAGCTTTGAGACACCTAGAGGGGGTGGGCTCCAGGAGGAAATGATTGGGTCGTTCAGAGGAAAAAATGATTCCCAGATTGCTATTAGCTAGCTCCTTCAACCAAAAATCTAAACTGTTCAAATGGAAGGAAGGGTGAGAGCAAATATTCAAACACAGCCAAATCTCCTTCGCCAAGGTGCAGTCATAGAGACAATGGAAGATATTTTCCAAAGGATAAGAACATCGATTGCAAGAGGTAGAGGTAGTCAGATAGCAATGCAGTTTCATATTATTGTTAGGAAGGGCTTCATGCATAATTTGCCAAAATAGAAGTCTCACCTTCTCAGGACGTTCATTTTCCAAATCCAATGCCAATTTCTTTCTCCTATTATGGTTCGACTATTCAAGAGAAGCTAATTTGTAAGTGAATTTAGATTTACCATTATTATCCTGACTCCATCTCCAAGCATCAAAAGAGTTAGGACTTAAGCCTGGATCAAGCTGGAGAATTAAATCTTTGATATTATTAGGAAGGCTAGTAGCAAGAGTAGAAAGGTTCCAATAACCATCCTCAGACATATCCTTGATCGCAAGCTAAGTATCACTTATGTGGACATAAGGAACATGATCACAGAGCTTGCCTAAAGGCAATCACACCTCATACCAAAAAGACGAGGTGCCTTCACTAATACGAAAAGAAAATACATTCTTAAGGATAGTAAAGGTTCACAAAAGTCCTCTCCAGAAATACTAGTGATTATTTACTTTTTACTAAAAGTAGTACTAACAAATTAAAGGACACTATTTACTAAAATAGTAGGGATACTAATAAATTATGTTGATTTAGATTTCAGTCTTTTGTCTAATCCAAATTGAACAAACTCATCAATATTGAGTTGGTTTGATTTGGATCATTAGATATTGAATGATTTAAAAAAATAATAATAATATTTTTTTAAAGTAAACAAAAATCTCTACATAAACTAAATTGATAAATTCTCAAAATTAAACTAAATTAACAAATTTGTAATATAGTATCTTTTGATTTTTTTTTCCTTATCTTAAAGATTTTAAATATTTTTTTGTGAAGATGATATTTAATATATTAATTCACTTTTGTTTTTTCAAGTCTTTGAAAAAAGAAATGAGAAACTCTACATATTGTAGCTAAAAAAATATTATTAAAATAATTAAAATGTTACATGCATGTTAATTGTTAACTAAATAAAAATAAAAATTAAATATAAAAATATTTTTAAGTCCTTATAAAATAAAAATATTTTAATTTTGATACCCAAATTAATTGATATAATGAAAAAAAATTGATAATTTAGTTGGTGTCGATCCCAAAAAAAAAGAAACAAATCTAAATGACTTTAATTTGTTCGGTTAGAATTTTGGGATAAATCCACTGTATGCGATTGCGAATTAAATGACGGAACTCTGATATATGAAAGACTGAAAGAAAGAAAGAGAGAAGAGAATGCCTTGGGCAAGGCTTTCAGGGTCTCCCAGAGTGGATGTTGCCATTGACATGGGCAATCCATTCCTCAATCTCACCGTTGATGGTTTCCTCAAGATTGGAACTGTAATTTCCCTTTCCCTTTCCCTTTCCCTTTCTCCGCTCTTTTCTCTCTCTTTTTCTTCATTTCCTATATATCTCATCCAGGTCGCAGCCACTCGCGCAGCTGCTGAAGATACTTATCATATTATCCAAAAGAGTAAGCTTTCCAGTCTTCACCACCCCATTTATCCAAATCCTACTTTCCTTTCTTTACCCACCTTAAAGACCTAACAAACCAACGTGCAACTGTATGCCATTGTTTTCTCTCATGTGGAAATTGGAATCGCTTCAGTGTTCCTCTTTTTTAATTGTTAATATTATTTTCATATATGTGAAGGCCTTTATCAGACTAACTCAACATGTCTGTTCCAGGGAATATCTCAAGTCATGATTTTGAGAAAACGGTAAGTTCACCATTTAACGTTCTAATTCGTCCTCAGTGTGTAGACATCTAGTCCAATTTCACTCTCTAGTATATTCTTATCAATTTTTAACCATTTTAAACATAACGTACAATTGGTTTCTCTTCTCCTTAAACTTTCAATCGTGCTATCAATATTCAATACCATGCATCTTCTTTTAAAATATAGTTTTGGGAGGATTAGTCCTAGCGGAAAATGATGACTAGGGTGACCCCCCAAAGGGCACGTTAGAATCCTATTCAATAGACACTTTATTGAGTATGCTATTCTTCATTTCTTGCTTTGTCTCTGTTGCAGTTGAAGAAGATGTGTAAAGAAGGTGTATATTGGGGTAATACTTGGGTTGCTTGATCCATGTAAGATGGTACATCATTTAGTAACGCAGTAGCTCTATTTAATTTACTGTTTTTTTATTGCTTACAGGAACTGTAGCTGGCGTTTATGTTGGAATGGAATATGGGGTAGAGAGGATCCGGGGCACCAGAGACTGGGTAATTCTCTTCACAGGGTGGTTGGACTCACTCTTTGTCCAAATTACCAGCATCATATTTGGCTTTTGAGTGAGTCTAATAGTGAACTGGATATTGTTGGTAATCAGAGAGCATACTCAGAATGTTACATGTTGAATTGATAAAAGATGTAGAAAATGTATTTGGTGATATTATATTTATACGAACTGTTGAGTGCTAAAAGAATTTTACTCTCCTAATAATTGCATTAGAATTTAGAAAAATACCCTTTTCAATTAGCTTGAGTGTAAATGGAAATTTAAATTGTAGAGTCAAGTTTCGGGAACTATAATATCATACTCATATCATAATTTAAAACAAATGATTTGTGAAAATTGGAAGTCAAACGTTATTTTAACTTTTTGATTTAAATGTGCACCATGTTTTTTATTGGTCAATTGTAGCTTGATTTTTTTTTACTTGAATTCTGACTTGAATCTTCTTTTCATTCCTTGGATTGGATGTACTACAGAAGAATGCCATGATTGGGGGTGCATTAACCGGGGCCCTGGTCTCTGCTGTCAGCAACAACAAGAAAGACAAAGTTGCCATAGATGCAATTACGGGGGCAGCAATAGCTACTGCTGCAGAATTCATAAATTACCTCACCTGAATGAATGAAAATGGATGTATTACTGGTTTTCTTGCATGTTTTGGAAAAGGGATTGCACAATAAGTCTCATTTGTCATCGTGTGCACTGGTTCCATCTTGATATTGGTGCAATTACTTCTAAGATATGTTATTTATTTAGTTTTCTGTTAAACCTATGTTTTGATCAATTATATTGGCCCGTTGGTTGTTTGCATATAAGTAGCTTTCCTTTGCAATATTGTGCCTGTTTGAAATCTCGTTGCATCTCATCGGACTCGCAGACGCGCATCAAATAGTCATGTCCTAAGCAAAGCTATTCCAAGTAGTTTCCGATTTTCGCAATCAATAGTCAATGCATGTTCAGTTCTATTTAGTCTTTGGGTTTTGGCATAATGAAGATTCTGGATGAACATGTTTTAAAAGCAAATATTTCGGAGTGTATTACAATTTCGAAATTATAATGAAGATTTAACATGTAAGCATAAAACACACAGGACTTGCCTTTCTCAAGTGTTATTACATCACCTCTAAAGTTTAGCCAAAATGTTTTGGTGATCTGTCTAACTAAGTTTTATCAGAACACTTCCAAACCAAATTGTGGAAGAAGGAAAATTGAGAGATTTTGAGAAAAATGTGAAATTGGAAGCTGGGAATAATATAAATAAACAGGCATTTAGAGGGTTTTTCACTTTTCTGTAGAGAAAAAGCGATGAGTGAAAAAACCTTTAAAACTTGATTAAAAGCGAAAGCTGAGGGAACGAAAATTTTGAAAATTTATTTTCAGAAGCTATTTTTTTTTCTCTTTCTCCAACAAGGCAGAAGAAAATTTGTTATTCGTGTTATTTAATTTATTTCCTTCTTTTCTGTCATCCACATAATGTAAAAGAATATGCAATGTTTTAAAAAAGACTTCTTAAATTATGTCCCGTGCTTCAAGTCACGTCAAAGACAAGCTACTTAACCATTGTGTGTATTTTCTACTAAAAATTTACAAAATTATGTTCAACATAAAAGATAAAAAAAATACTTCAGTATTTTGAGATGTGTTCGTGACGAAACTCAATGATAAAACAAACATTTCATTAATATTCAATTTGCTATAGATACATATTTGGTAAGACATCCTCAGCCTCTTTTCTTACCTTACGTGCATGGGCAGATTCAAACAAATTGACCAGTAAGACAGAATATAACTTGTATTGGGAGAGAGGTCACGAAATTAAGAAATTAACTCCAGTATAGACTCAATCAAGATCCACCATTAGTTACTGATTTAGAAACAGAAATGATTCAGCTTATGTGATAGAAATTTCAAAACTACGTTTTTAAACAAAATAGTGTGAACTTACAGAAACATTCAAAGTATTGCCTCTTAAACAATTTTGACCTGAAAATGTTTAGTTTCGAAAAATTATGTACAGAAATCTGGGTATCGTCTTAAACACCTTATGGTAAATACTCTCAACAGATTATACTCTCAGCACCCTGTACATTATCAATTGTAAAAGGCAAACAAAAGGAGCTTCAATGAGAAATGGTATATGTTCTTAAAAATCTCTCGCATCTAATCGACTTTTGTCCCGTAATTGATACATATTTAGTAAATGGAAAGACAACAGGATACACATAACTTGTTGAAAATTATCAACCAAAATCAGGTCTGAAACTGTTCAGCAATTTTTAAAAGACTGTAGGTTTCAGCATCTGGTCTAGCTCCCCCAAGAATCATCCTTTTCAAAAGATTTGGATCATAAATTTTAGCTTTTACATAAGCCTTAATCAAGGTATTATATACAAAAGTATATCTACAATACTTAGCTTTATGAAATTCTTCAAACAATCTTTCAACATTTCCCACATCACCCTTTTCAGCAAAAATCTCAACAATTGAAAAAGTGGTCTCCAACCATGGGGTTGAATTTCTAACCCTCTTGCTAATTGTCAAACGCAAGCCCAAGTCTAATGTCTTTACCGCTTGCTCTGCCATACCAGATTTCAAGCATCCCAGAGCAAGCTGGCGATAAGTTATGGCATTCGGTTTGCACCCATTTGTCTTCATATTTTTGTACAGTCTAGCTGCTTTGTCAATGAATCCATGTTTGCAATATACAGACATCATCGAATTGAATTGCTCTACAGATTTCAATCCTTTTGTTGACTTCATTTCTAACCAAAGTTCTTCAGCTCGGTCTAGCTGTCCAATTCTACCAAACGCTTCAATGGCTAACAAGTAACTTTTAGATCTAACAAATGGGAGTTCTCGAATAATGGTCCAAATTTTTTCCAGCTCCTTTTGGTTTCCCAAATACCCATATAACATAAGCAGGACATCCAATGTTGACCAGTTAACCCTTGTAATAGATTTCTCCACAGCTTCAACATACGCTTCAGTTGCAGTAAATAACCTGGCCACTGCATGAGCTGTAGCTAAAATGCAGTAAGATATTTCATTCGGTTCAACCAGCGCTTCTTTCATTCGACCAAAGACCTTCACCAAATTCTCAAGATTATGTTCACTGGCCTCTATTTTCATCAAAATATTGTAGGTGGACACATGTGGAGTGACTTTACAAGCCTTCATTTGGGTGAGGAACTTGGGAATCATCTTCCTGCGGCTCGGTGAGGAATGCAGAATTATGAGGCGGTTGAAAACCAAGTGCGAGATGGGAAACCCCAATTCCCTCATTTTCTTCATGTACTCAAGTGAAAGCCTTATGACACCCTTATCCAAGCATGCAATCACTAGGTTGTTGTAGAGCAACTCATTCTGAAACTCAATAGGAATCCGGGAGAAGAGCTTCTCACCATGTGAAATCCCATGAAGCTTAGTTGTAAATTCCACAAGATAAGAGTAATCCAGTTCCCTAGGCCTGTAGGGTCTCTCCCTTATCACCCATTCCATTACCTATCAATCAACACAAAACAATAAAGCTTCCATTTTCTCTATCAACAACCAATACCCTTTTCATTCTACATCATTTTCAACAAACCTAAGATGGCTTTAACATTAATATTCCCATTCAGTATTGAGGGGTCAAAACAGAAACATGTTATAAGACTAACCTGAAGGGCACGTTTGTTCATGTTTAGCTTCCTGAGACGGTTAATGGCGTGAAAGACGTCGCCGCCGTGAACGGGGAATCCGTCCCTCATCCAACTGCGGAAAGCGGAGCCAACGGATTCTCCTTTGGGGAGCTTCTCGATTCTCCGAGACAGGGAATCCTGGTTTTGTGTCGCTTGGGTGCACAACAATTTCAGACTAAGAATGCCACGAGGTGTTCGACGTATTTCCTGAACCAACCTGAGTTGTGCGATTATGACTCTCACACTTCGCATGCTTGTGCTTTTACTGACCAAGGGTACGCCAGTTTGGTGCCACTATTCGAACTTGTAAGCCACCTAAAGTTTCACCAAGGCAAGAACACAATGTATGTTGATGAAGTTATCAAGAAAAAACAAGGATACAAATATAAATTGTCATAATCTTTTATGCATTTTTTTCTTTCTTTTATGTGCTTGATTTTTATATGTAATGTATGTATATATTTATTAAATTTGAGTCATTTTTAAAAAGTACATAAAAAATAATGGTATTTTAGTATGGATTGAAATTTTTTATATTAAATCTTAAATCCAGATATTTCGTTATACCATGTCATTTATTTTAAATTGCTCCCATAATAAAAAATACAAGAACTGATTCTTATGTTTAAGAATGCAGTTAAAAATTCTTATAAGAAATGAACTTAAATTCCGTTATTATTGAAAGTATTAATAATTTTTAATTTCTTTCATATATATGTTTACTTGTTTAGTATTTTAATATAGTTTAAAAATATATTTTCAAGAATATTTGTTGATAAGATAAAAATATCGCTATAAATAAACAAAATTTTGTTTTTCTCTCTCACTACTCATTGTTTCCATTTATGACCCTAATTTTTAAAATTTAAATCATTGCTATAAGAATGAAATATTTTCACATTTAACTCTTTTAATTGGTAGGAATTATGAAATGTCGAGAGCACTAGAGAATAAATTTTGTTTGGAAATAATATTTTAAAACTTAAAATAAATATATAGCAACATTTTGTAAAATTACCTTTTTTATCAATCATTTTGTAATTACCTTAACATTCTCTAGAGAAAAATAAACCGTAAAACAAAGAGTTATAATTATTAGACAAGTTATCAACGTACTAGAAATTTTATTTGATATATAACTTTAAATGTAGTGACTATAAAAATGAATGAATGAATTTATTATATATGATATTTTATAATTAAATAATAATATTTTTTTCATGGAGGCGCCACTAATTTTTTATTCAAAACATTAAAAAAAAAATTTAAAAGTTAAATAATAATCTTTATCCAGAATTGGGTTTGGGATCGATTATGTGTAAGAAGGTATTAAGCATCCCTACAACGTTCTTAATCGGTACCTTATGAATTTAGGGTTATAAACAATAATAATATAAATATTAAATATCCTTTTATTAATAACTATTTATATGCTTGAAATTAAATTATATAATTGATCCTAAAATGTCTACATAATTGCTTTTATAACAATGTTTATCAAAGATAAGAAATAAAAGAGAGAGAAAAAGATTGACTGAAATACCTCTTGAACGAGCTATATTGGATCTTTAAATATGGAAATTTAGGTGTTTTGTGACAACTTTTTACACTATAATAAGCCTCACAAAACTCGAGAAATATAAGAGGAGAGAGAATAAAAAATTTCGAGTTCTAAGGAGTCCTGGACGAAATTTTGGAACCCGGAGAAGTGCTTGAGCCGTCCACTTATAGGGATCAAAAAGTTTCCAGAACGGCCGTTCCAAAATCGGAATGGCCCGTTCTGGATCTGTACGTTATGTGTTAATTTTGCTTACTAGAACGGCCCGTTCTGAAACCAGAACGGCCCGTTCCAAAGTTGAGTTAAACACATAAACTCCTATTCTCGAACGGCCCGTTCCAAACAAAGGTTTTAGGCCTTTTTTACAATTTGGAACGGCCCGTTTCAAACTTAGATTTTTTTTTTTGGTTCTCCACGTATAGTTTGACATGATGTGAGCATTTTTGAAGCACGAACTAGAACATTTTGGGGGAATTAACTCCTTTCATTAGATCAACTCCTATTGATTTCTTGATTGGTTTGTAGTTAAAACACCATTTTTATGAAAATGATATTCATATAAATAAAATATCCTTGCATCCAATAAGGATTGACTCGTGAGAATATTATAATTTGTGTTTGAATCTAATGTTCTTCCATTAGTCAATAATTAGCGATAGCGATATCAGACACCAATATACATGCATAAAATTTCTAGCGCAGAAGAAACATGATGTTAGTTTGTAGAAATTAATTTGTCATCAATTACTCTACCAGTATAGGGAAATAAAGTCTCAAGCAAAAACACGTTCACTCATATATGTTATTTACATTAAAAATCAATCACGCCGTGCACCAAAACTCCTCGAGCAACTTTACATGACATATTTTTTGAACAATATACATATGAATTGTCGTATTCCGCAGGAAAGAGTCGACATGGAGTTGAAACACACTGGAATCCACATTCTAGCATTCTACACTACAGCATGTTATTGTTATTGCTAACGTTCTGTAGCATTGAATGGCTATTGGTTTTGATAGTGCTGTATGACATGTGTGCTTCTAGTTCTTGCTGTGCCCGAACAAAATAGGAGCCAAGCTTGTTTTCTCCTCTTAAGAATTTCCAAAAAAAAAATCTATGGAATAACTAATCAAGCAAACTTCATGAGAAGATAAATTCATCTAACAAATCTTCCATGATCATCTCCTCTAGTTCAAGCGCTACATACTCCTCTTCCTCTTGACGGATCATCCAGTCACTTTTTGCCAAATCACGACCCACAACATCCTCTAATGTTTGGTCTAGCTCAGGTCTCAAGATCAGGTATGAATTAACACTATTCCATACTTCATTCATAAGGTAGTGCCCTTTAGGCATTGGATGGAGGCGAGGGTTGAAAGAGAATGGTCTTGGGAAGTAAGTTGGTGATCTGCCATATATTTCAAGCAGCACCTCGTTAACCAAGTTAAAGAGGAGCTGGTGATCATAAGGGTTGATTGTCTCTTCTTCAGATGGTTCAATTTCATGGACCAAAGTTGCATCCAAATCTTTGAATAAGGAGGGCTTTAGTGGCTGGTCTACTGTGTATCTCATAATGTCCTCGTTTCCCAAGTAGCCGGAAAATTCAAGAACATTTTTCACATATTTGAAATTGGAAGAGTTGTCTGTGACTTCAGCTGTTACACTAGCACTTCCTTTATATGACAAACCAGTCTCCACTTCGTCCAACGTAGAGCCTAAGGTTTTCAATTGTGTACCTGAAAATGATAGTGGCCAAACTAATCACCAATTATTACCACAGTTGTAGTTCATAGCACAAATGTTAAGATGGGAAAAAATTGACTGCAATATTTTATCTATGAAAGTTTTTTCATTTTGAATAAAAATTATTTTCATGTATCTTGATAAGAAATACTTAGTCCTATGTACATTAACATAAATTTATTACCTTCTGCATGGCTGGTTATATTGTCCTCATAGCTAGTTTCAAGAGAGGCCATTACCTCCTTGTCAAGATAGGTAGTCATATTACTCATTTCCTCTTTTTCTTGGGGAAAACTTTCATCTCCCGCTGCTGGCTCATGCATGTCCTCCTTTTGGTCACTGGTAACTACTTCATCAATTTTCTCCATAATCTTATCAGATAAAATACTGGGATATGCATCTCTGCCACTCCCTTCTACTGTTTCCACAATTTCAGCCTCTTTGAAACGATCAAATGACTTGTCTATCTTCAAAGGAAGACTCACTGATTTTCTATGAGCTTGTTTATGAGTTTCCACTGTTATATCATTTGTATCAAAAAGTGCGTCTTGAAGAATGAAGCCTAGAGTCTCGAGACTAGGCATAGATAAATTGCTTCTAGAAAACTTAGGAACATTGCCACTCTTGTGGATCTTATCCTCGTTTCTCAATTTCAAGCTTTTAGACTTTGAGTTTTGCCACTTGGGGTCTCTGCTGAAGCTTTTCTCAAACAACTCAGTATATCTATCCAACGATAAATTTAGAGAGGATGTTCTTCGTATAAGGCGAGCATCATGCTTGTTGGAATCATGATCAGAAGCTTTAGTTTCATTTGAGATTTTATTCATTTTGTATTTTTGAACCACGCCATGATCTAAGCTTTGTGAGATCTCTTCCTCGTTATTGATGATGCTATATTCAGGCGAAGCTCTGCGGCGGATTGCTTCGGCAGAAGTTTGGTAACTACTTTTTCTGAATTCCACAAGAGCATGCTTTATCTTCTGTTTTATAACTTTGAATTGATGAAGAACCAACTGATTCCACCCTTTGTGATTTGATCCTTGAGAAGACCTTGAGGAAATTATTGGTTTTTGTTTCGTGCCACTATCCGCACCAATATCACTCACTAAAGGCATTGGCTTCTCATAAGAAATATCTTTCACAAAATTGGACACTAACATGTTTGATGCTTGAGTACCAGCGGCCAACTTTTCTCCCTTCGGAAAGGCCCAAATTTCGTTTTGCTTGTGTTTTAAGGACCTAGAGCTAATGTTTTTCATCTGTGAAGTTGAGGCTAAAGGAAATGACCCAGATTTTGTCAATCTTGCTTTGTTGTGATGGAGTTTTTTCCCACCAAAGTCTATGTCTCGTAGAAATTTGAGTAATAAATCCTTCTCCACTCTAAATAACTCCAAAACATCAGCATGTTTCTCAAATTTGTTGGAAATGTCTTTGTTATGCTTGTTTGTTTCCATAGGCTTATGGTTAAGGGAAGCTTGTCTTGTCTTGCAATCTTTCTCCACATGAAGTGCATACTCACTAATGGCCTTGTTTTTCCTTGAGTAGTCCATGGTACCACTGCCTTCATAATTTTCGTTGTTAAACTTTTTCTGAGTGTGTGATTCCTTTTTGCGATTTTTGGAAGAACTTTTGCCAGCAAAACGCAATTTTTCGCTATGTTGTCCGAGCTGGTATTTAAAGTAGACATAATTACAATATAATATACACATATATCTCATGTTAAATAGAAGACGAGTCTATTATTGTTTTAAACTTACCAGGAGGTGTTCTGTTTCTGTTACTCCATGTTGTTGGTCTACATGTTGGTTATACAAAATGGCTTTTCTCTTATCTGCAGTAAGGTTAAAGAGCATGCTAAGCATGTAAAGTCTTTGACAGAAGCAAAATGTGATCATAGTGATTCAAGAGAGAAAAATGTCAGTGGTCTTCAAAGCCAGAATTTCTAGTGTTTTTTCTTAAACAAAATCTCCATATGTCTTTCTTGTTATTTGCACTCGTTCCCTTCATTTAATCAGGACTAACAATAAGACAGGGTGAATGATATACACCTAATGACATAGTAGTTTAAAATGTTTCAAAGTATAAAAAGAATCACTTTTGCAGTTGTAGATGCACACAGAAGGTCCTTGTGTTCCAATTTAAGTAGTCTATCTAATTTTGTTCCCGCTTGACTTTTATGTATCAACTCTAATTAATTATGCTGAGACTAAATCACCCCCTTGTACTTTTTGCTTTGGATAAATTATACTTTATCACCTTTCACACTTTATCATGTAAGTGCCTAAGTTTTTTTTTTTTTTGGGGGGTACTACTGTACTTAATTAAGTTTGGATTGAAGCATAAAATGTTATATTCCGTTAATTTTGCTTAAGTTTCGGTTTTAGGCTCATTAACTATAATTTTAGTTATAGCTATAATGTTTTTAACTTCAACCCAAATTTTAAAGAGTACAGTGACACTGACACGAAAGAAAACAAGGTTTTGAAGAATTAATTGAAAAGATGTAAAATTACAAGGGAGTAATATGTAACTTCCCCTTATGTTATTATGCCCACCTTTTGTTGATTCCTTTTAAGGTAAATATACAAACTCAGAGTTGTCCGTTCCATATAATAAAGCCAATTGCAATGTTTCATGTATAAGTAGAAAATAACCAAAATTTAAGCAATAATGATTAATGAGTGAGAGAAACATGATTTGGTATAAAATTTCTTACATGTGGCATGTCTTCTCCTTTTGTTAGGAAACACCTTTTTTACGCGCCAACGATGATAATCAAGAATTTGAAGCATGCCCCACATGCATCCTGGATTATTGTCCTGAATTTGAACAGTTTGGTCGGAAGAAATCAAGTCCTTTCCCATTACTACTAATACGAGTAATCTTGTTCTCTAGTTTTTGAATCCACTCGAGTGTTAATCAATCTCTCTCCACTAGGCCCTGTCTTGCGGAACCTTTATTAAAAATACAAAGAAGAAAAAAATATATTATGTTTACAGAAAAGAGAGCATCATTGAACACGAATCTCAATCTCAACTTGACATCATGTTTTGGATTCTTTTCTACTTTTCTTAATAACCACAGAAGAAGTTCTCTAACCTTGTTCTTCAATCTTCGCTTGAATCAAGTGCGTGTGGATGAATATGAACAATAGATAGCCGCAGTGATGGTTTCAAACTGTGTTGCAACAATAAACAAAGAAACGGAGAGTAAGAAACTGAAAATCCTTCTAACTATTTAAGCAAAAATAATTAATTTGGCCATCAAAATTCATTAGCAAATATTCACACGAACACGATTCTTTTGCAGCTACTGGCACATAATTATCCCCAAATTCATATATACGAATACCACTCACTAGGACAGAGTTACATAACTTACATGCACCAAGCAAAGGAGAAAACATGAAATTATGAACAAATAAAAGTGAAAACAATAAAAAGACTCGAAGAAGATATCGCTAATGGTCTTGTACAGTTTGCACAGGCCGTAACCTTCAGTTTCATCAAATGAAACCAAAACTGGCATCCATATTTTTTGACAACGATCAAATAATTTAACAGAAACATGTAGCTGACCATGAATATCTAGAAAAAACAGAGATAAAAGTTGTAACGTGAGAAATAGAGTTAATTAAACAAGAAAAAACTCTCTTCGTGATAGTAGCATAACATAAAGTTGTTTACTCTTGAAAGTTTATTGAAACTCTAACTAACCTATAACGGATGAAGAAGAAGGAGAGTTAGCAGAGTTTGAGAAACGAGGGCGCAAGGTGCGAAACAGTTGATGAGAATACGGTATAAAGGAGGGAAGGTTTGCGTCAACACATGAATATGTTATTATATATTGTGGCTGCGAAACTTACGAGAAAAGGTGGTTATGTAAATATAAGTCCTCTTTCTTTGTGGTGTGTTTCCAGATACTGCATCACGACGCCAAACCTACGCAAACCTGGTCTTCTCTTTTCCTCTGACTATGACCAAACAACAATGTCTGCTAACTAAGGTGCTACAAAGCAAAGGCTATTTGTATGCTTACGCACCAAATCATTTCACCATTTTCATTTAGTTTTTTAATAATAAAAGAAAAAGTTGTGTCCAATCATTAAAAAGATATATAATAAAAGTTGTATTCTTTCACAAATGTAAGTTATCTCATGAAAATGTATGTTACTTTATGAAAGGATATGTCTATTCATAAAATGATGTAAATATGAAATGTTATATTTGATTAATTAATGATTATTAAAATATATCTCTCTTCACCAAAAGTCGTGGTAAGGTGTGACTTTGTGAAATCGATCATAATTTGAAAGTTTTAACTATTAACCAAAAGATATAAGATAATATATAAATAGAACTAATTTGTTTGAAAAAAAAAAATTATACACTATTCAACCAGGAAGACATAAAAAGTGTACATACACACACATGTATATCCCTATAATATTTCACATACTGATATTAAATTATTAATCATATTAGGAGTCATTAAAACTTAAACTCTGTCAACAAGCTAATGATGGGTAAAGGAGACCTTTTTAGGAGCAGTTACGTGTTTTTATCATCTAACTTAATATTGGGGGAGAATAAATATTTAAAATGGGTTGGAAGAAGGAAAATGTAGTGTGCATGATGTCAGCTGAAACAGTGTTGTCTTCCTTAGCCTATCATATGACAAGTTGTTAATAAAATATAAATGAATTATCAGTACGTGTCTTTTTAAGGCAACTTTATCACCAAACAGTCTCAATTGTTTGTGACTTGTTCAACGATGCTGCATAGACCCAAAAATTTTGTCATGAATTCAATTCATCGAGTCAAGATCCTCTCTAACTTACCGGCAAAATGGTGAATGAGTATATAATACGCTGTATACATATTTGTTGTGCAAAAGAGAATAATGAAAACGATGCGGATATATAAGTCAGAAAACATGGTGTCCAAATTAATATAATCACTGGAGCAAACTGAGCCTTTTAGAAGTTGGAATTGGTTAGGCAAAAGATTACATTCATGTTGTCCAAAAGTAAAAAAACAAGGGCCAAAATTAAGAAGACCGTAAAGAGAAGACCAGGAATCCTTAAATAAGAATTCAAGTATTATGTTGTCTTACATAATTCTAGATTGAAAACAACCCCCAGATGAAGGTCAAAATTCACATGCTCCTAACCCTTAACCGATTGACTCACTCAATGTCTCATATTTCAGGTTTTTTTTTATAAAAAAAGAATAAGACTACATTTAAAAAAAAAAAATATAAACCTCATTAAAAATAATAATAACAAAGTCTTTATCAAAATTTGTTTTAGGTCTTATTCAATTTCGTGCCAATGACATTCCATGATAATGACTTGTCCTGGTTACATAAAATGTCCTTCTTTTATAATATAGTTTTATTTTCAAAAGTCTGGTGGAAAAAAATTGTTAAATGATCTTGTACTATTAAGCGTCTAGAATCTCAATTAATCATTGTGTAACATGTATTTAAAATTTTAATTTTAAAAAAATTAATAATACTTATTAAATATCCTATAAATACTAGTAAGATATTATGTGATTCTGAAGTATTTAATAATTTCTTTTAAGCATAGAAAATCAACGTTCAACACTATATTGCTCCGTGTAGACTACGACATAATCTGAACTTGTCAACCCATTTTAAGCTTTGAATTCAGAGCTGATAATGGGCCTCGTTCTTTTAATTGTTGTCTCTTTCGATGTTATTCTTGGACCCAAAAGAAAAGGGATGCCCAACTTGAAAGGTTTGAAAGACAGTCCTTTCCTTTAGGGTTGGATTATGTCATTGACTCATTGCCTATTTCTTGAGAAGTTAGTCATCTTATTAGGCCTCGCCATATATTTAAGGTGAAAAAAATAAAATGTAATTAAAAAAATAAAGAAAAAATGTTCCTGTAAATTTATGAGAAATGTTAAGAACACTCCTTTAACCTAATATTAGGTCTAATTGTGGAATTTAGATAATAAATATGGGATGATAGATTGTAACATTAACGTGATGATGTTAAAAAAAAAAGTTTCATAAGTTAAACCGAATGATGTTTTGCTTAAAAATCAATGATAAATAGAAATTTGAAGTCTCGGATTTGTTGCAAAGCAATAAAATTGAAAGTGGTAATAGTGATAGAAGAAGAGAGATATTTGTTCTTACTTGTGGCAGAGAATCGTCCATGCTGAAGTGGGGATGCCACTTTTGATTCGATCTTGAAGAGAAACGATGAGAGAATCCCAAGTGCAAGTATAAAGGGGTAGCAATCGATTACGCAGATGTGTTGGAAGCTCTTGCTACGACTTTGATAAAATATGTGTCTTATTTGGATATTGAAAATAGACGGTGGCAGAAAATCATGTGTTGGCGTTGATGAATTATCGTAGCATTATAGCATATGTTTATGTTGAATGCATGTGATAGTAGAGTTGTGGTGGCTAGCTTAAAAAGCGAAATCGATTAATGGAGAGGATCGAAAAATGAAGAAACAAGGAATAATATTCCAACATATATATATGAATGGTAAATGGTGAAGGACCAACTTGATTCCACTGTGTTTGAGCTGGCCAAGGATCACAGTATCGACATGGAAGAGGAAAGTTGTTTAAGTTAACAGAATATATAAAAAGGATAGAAAGAAATTAAACAGAATGAATCTCATATTTTCTTTCAATTAAATTGAGAGGAATATATATTTTTAATGTTTTATAACAAACAAACAACCTTTGTCTGATAATTTTTTTTTTTGGTATAGAAAATTTTAGGGGAATGGGACTTGACTGATATCAATGTTATTAATTAAAGGTTATATTTTTCATTTTCTAATTAGTTAAAATAATAAAACTTGTAAACTCAGATCTAATCTTGATTTTCTGAAATCCGAAAATTTACCAACTAGTTAGATCTAATCCTGACCTTTTTTTTTAAAAAAAAAAAAAATCTAATATATGTTATTCATCAAATAGGATAAGTAAAAAAAATAAAAAATTATAAGAAGATAAAATACAACTAGTATTTTAATTTACACAATGTACATGCATGTTATATAATTAAAATTTATAATAAATTATATATATATATATATATAT